CTTGGTTGGAGAAGGCAATGGCACCCCACTCCAGTACTCTTGCCTGGAAAATCCCATGGATGGAGGAGCCTGGTAGGCTGCAGTCCATGGGGTCGCTAAGAGTCGGACATGACTGAGCGACTTCACTTTCATTTTTTCCTTTTATGCATTGGAGAAGGAAATGGCAACCCACTCCAGTGTTCTTGCCTGGAGAATCCCAGGGATGGGGTCACACAGAGTCGGACATGACTGAAGTGACGCAGCAGCAGCAGCAGCAGCAGCGCCGTTAGTGGAAGGCAAGAGAACGTCCACAAAATGCTAACAAAAATGAGAATCTGCAGCTGTCAAAGGAGAGAGACCCAGAACACAACAGGACTAGGTTTGGAGGAGCAAGGTGGGAGGGGCACTGCAAGCTCTAGTGAAAAGTGGAGGGAAGAAGGAGCAGCAGGAACTACACGCCTTTCTGCTGTCCTTACAGAGACCCCAGATGCTGAGGTGGAGTGGGAGGAGAAGATGCTGACTGCCTCTGAATGTGCTTCAAAGAGAGGGCAAAGCAGTGCCAGAAAAAGTGGAGATGCTGCGAGCTCAAGAGAGGTAGAAGGAATCTCAGCATCATAGGAAGGGGAGGAGTGAAAGGAGAGGAAAGGAGCTGGGAGGAGGGACCAAGAAGTGGAGAGTCACGAGGTCCCGGGGAGCCTCTCTTTCTCCCTCCCTCTCTGCAGCAGCATCTGCACAGCATCCCCAGTTCCCCTCCATCTTCTGGGCCCCCACCCATCCCTCACCCAACAATCCGCAAGCATCATCAGCTTCCAAGCCATTCCTGCTGTCATAGTCCTTGCTCTGGGGAGACTCTACTCCCAGCCCAAACTATCCCTGACAGGTGAGAGAAGCTGGTGCCATATGGAGGCAGCCAGACTTCACCAGTAGGCAAACTCTTCAACGGGGCAGAGGTGGGAATATGGGGGTGGGGTGGGGAGGATGCAGAGGTGAATGTGAAACCCAGCAGTTTGGAGAGTGAGGCTGGGGAATTAGGCAATCTTGAGTACCCTGGAGCCTCCAACCCTGCCCCCCACCGCACAGACAGTTCTCTTAGCCTTGCAGCAACCTCTCCTCCCCAGGTTATAAGACACCAGAAAGGTTCCCCTGGGGCACGCCCCTCTTCCCCCATCTCCAAAATCTTCCACCAGCTGCTTGTTAGATTGGGACTTGGAGGACAGGTGCTAGAACTTCTCGTTTCAATTGTGCACACTGCAATGCAGAAAAGGGCAGGAGCAGCATTGCAGTTCAGAGAAATCTTCTCTGGGAAGCACCCCCACCCTGAGGCAGTGGGGAACAGATGACATGTGTCTGGATCAGGAGCTGCTGTTGCCTGAGCCCCACAGCCTCCAGAACTGCCCAGGAGAAATAGTCCCTTGTGCTGTGCTGTGCCGAGTCGCTCCGTCGTGTCCAACTCTTTTCAACCCCAAGGACTGTAGCCTGCCAGGCTCCTCTGTCCATGGGGGTTCTCCAGACAAGAATACTGGAATGGGTTGCCATGCCCTCCTCCAGGGGATCTTCCCAACCCAGGGATCAAACCCAAGTCTCCTGCATTGCACCTGGATTCTTTACCGGTTGAGCTACCAGGGAAGTCCCGCGAGTCACTGAGGTGATTTCAAATTTTCTGGTATCATATTGAAAAAAAAAAAAAGCAACAGATACAATTAATTTTAAGACTATAGTTTATTTAACCCAGCGTACCCAAACTATGATCATTTTCAACATGTTATCAATATAAAAATGAGTGATGAAATATTCCACATTTTTTTTTCGTACTAGGCCTTTGAAACAGTATATCCTTTACACTTACGGCACATTCCAATTTGATAACTAAATTTTTGCCAGAAATATCTGATCTGTATTTAGGTTTCATAAAATTCACTGTTGAAAAAATCAACTCATATATCCAAGTTGTTCCAACCATATTAAAAGTTTTCTAAGGACTTCCCTGGTAGTCCAGTGGTTAAGACTCTGTGCTTCCACTGTAGGCGGGCATGGTTCCAATCCCTGGTTAGGGAACTAAGATCCCATGTGTAGCTCAGTGTAGCAAAAAAAGTTTTTCATAAATAAATACTGGTTTTAACACTTAAATTAACTGAAATGAAATAAATTTTAAATTCCACTCCTCAGTCACACCAGCTATCTTTCAAGTGTTCAATAGCTACATGTAGCCAGTGGCTACTGTATTAGACAACACAGCTCCAGATGTTATAACTCTAGGTGTAGACTAGGGCCTCCTCAGCACAGGTAGGAAAATTTCCCCCCCCTACCCAAACACATTCAACCTAGAGGAGATGCCTGTGGGACTCCCCCACCCCCACTACCACCTCTTGTTCTCCTGATAGAGCCTTTCCAGAGCACCTTCAAGGAGTGACACTAATTACTGTAACAAGGTTACTGGGACGAGCACTTGTACCACAGCTTGTATCATCATCAGCAAGCCAACTGCTTACCTCACCTGTCTGGAAAGGCTGCTTTAGCTGGGGTGGCGGGGTGGGGTATGTGTCTGTGTGTGGACAAGTGTGTGATGACAACCAAAGACATGGGCTAGTGGTATGTGTGTATGTGCAGGAATGTTATGGTCCACATCACAGGCACCCCAATGCCAGCTCTCCCCTGGGGTGACAGCTGTGGAGACAGAAAAGAAATAACACTTATTTTATGTCAGTGGTTATATGTAGGATTTCTAATTTAACCCTCACATCAACCCTATAAGGTAGGGAATCTTGGCTGATGGAACTAAAGGTCAGGTAGATTAAGTAACATGCTCGAGTACACAGAGCTAATTAGTAAGGGAGCTGCTTCTGAACTTAGGGCTATCTGATTCAAAAGCCAAATGCTTTCCACAACATTGTCGTATAGTTCCAGTCACTGCTCTCATTACCCGCTTCCCCAGGGTCTCTCGGCTGCAGGAACTGACCTGTGAGAAAGGTAAAATCCAGGGGACATCCTCTGCCCCACCTACTCTGACCAACTCTTAAGGAAAACTGGGGTCAGTTGTTGATCCTCACCTTCTTTCAGTAACTCTAATGCACCTGATTCGGGAAGCAGAGGATCAGTTGTTGGTTTTTAATCTTTTTTTCTCAATCTCCTCTCCCAATGTCCTTACCTCCGCCCCAGGGACCAGCAGAAAGGAGCAGAAATTCCAGAAATCAGATGAAATGCCTGGATGCCAGCAACACAGCCTCTTGTGATTAAAAATGGAGGCTTCAGATTTCATAGGTGCTTTTCAGAGTCCTAAGCTCAACAACCTCTTAGATTATAGAGCGCCAGCTCAGGAATTTCCAGTATGGTGGGACGATTGGTGAACTGCCTTACTCTCGAGAAGAATTCAGCTCTTTTCACCTGCCTACTCCTGCTTGAGAGAACCTTCCTGAGGTCATCCTGCCCAATCCTCTCTCTACCCCTCCCTCTCTTTCATTTCAGACACGATCTCATCTAAGCTGAGAGAAGTTTGGACCCAAAGACATTCTGGCAGCACTTCCACACTCCCTATTTTGGTTCCTGAGATACTCTAATTTCCCTACATCCTTTGCTGGGCTGTTTTCCTGATTCAAAGGCAGAGCATGCTGCAAGGCAATGATCCTTAACTTTGAGGGTTACAGACCCCTGTGAGAATACCTGGTGCATGCAACGGACAAAAATGCTTCTAGAACCTCTGCTGGGAGAAGCCTCAGGTGGCAGGGAGAAAGGTGAAGGCTTAGGCTGCCTGTGCTCTCCAGGTCCATTAGCGGCAAAGAGAAAAGGCTAGGAAGGGCTATGGTGTGAAGTAGCTAATTGCATAAGTAAGAGCAAGTGATAGGACAGATCCTATAAGAAAACATACTGTTGCCTCCAGCTGCTCTGCTCCCCTCCCCACCACCATTTTCCCCGGAGCATCTATCTCTCAGAGAGATGCAGGAGGCTTTGGGTAGGACTTTTGCTCTAAGAAGTCAGTGTGGTGGTGATGCAGGCTGGAGAGTGTGAGAGATAAAGAACTCCTGAATCCTCTTCCACCAAACTGCTTTGTAAAGGGGAATTAAGGAGGAAGACTTCGAGCTGGATGGTGGTGGCCAGAGAGGCCGAGGAGAGTGTCTCTCTCCTAGGACACCTGCCACAACTCATTAATCTGACCTAAAGACAGAAGAGTAGTACTAGCATAATTTCTGATACTAAGACCCACGCTCCCAGTTGCTGGTTTCTGGTGAAGACCCTTGAGTGATGGGGCGAATCCTACAATGGGCAGAGCCACTGTGTTGTTTTCCAAAACCTCCGTTAGAGAAGCATTTGAATGGTTTGCATGTTGTCCAAGAAGGGAACTCTGTAAGCAGCAGGCTCTGGAACTACTGTGTTGAGAATCCTTCCCTGTCCAACCCTCTAGCTAAAGTCCACTTCCCTGCTTTGCCTTGTGGAGTGGAAACAGCTGCCCACTGAATTCTGGGCCACCCACACTTTAACTAGTTTCACCTGCTGCCACCTACACCTTGTTCAGAATACTCTTCAAGGAAATAAAACGGACTCTTTAGGACTGGAGATGAGAATAAAGAAATCACAATTCACCCAGTCCCAATTTGTCCTATGTCTTCTTCTTTTTACTGTGACTTTTTTTGTTATGCAAGTATTTTTTATTTTTATGTAGCTGAATTTGTTAGCATTTTCTTTGATAACTTCTAGGTTTCATATCATATTTAGAAAAGCCTCCTACTATCTAAAGTTATTTAAAAATTACCCTATGTTTTCTTTACTTTTATAATGTCCTTTTTGTATATGTAAGTATTTAGTCCACCTGGAATTTATTTGGGTGTTAAGGTGTGAAATAGAGATCCAATTTGTATTGTGTGCTAAGTCACCTCAGTTGTGTCCAACTTGTTACAGCCCTATGGACTGTAGCCCACCCAGGCTCCTCTGTCCATGGATTTCTCCAGGCAACAATACTGGAGTGGGTAGCCATTCTGTTCTCTGGGGAATCAGGATCTTCCCGAACCCAGGGATCAAACTCACACCTCTTAGCTCTCCTACACTGGCAGAGGGGTTCTTTACCACTAGTGCCACCTGGGAAGCTTTTATCTAACCCTTATCAGATATCCAAAGTATATGAACAGACAATTTACAGAAAAATATAATTGCCACTTAAACGTACTAAGAGATGCTCAACCTTATAAGAGAAATGAAAATTCAAATTGCAGTGAGATGCCATTTACACTACCAGATTGTCAAAAATCCAAAAGTTTTATAACAGGCTGTATAAGCTTGCTGATGGCACAGGAAACTGGTAAAATATCTGTAGAAGGCAATTTGTCAATATTATACTTACCAAATCCTTTTCAAATGCTGTTGGTGAAATGTAAATGAGAAAAATCTTTGTGGAAGAAAAGAGAATTTGTGAAATTGTATATAGCTAAATTAAAAAAAAAATACACACACTTGTCAGACTTAAATGTTTGAAGCCCTAAATATTTACTGTACAGATATACAAGAGACAAACAAAATATACTTGGGTATCAATATAATGTTAAAGGACTGATTGAATAAACCTTAATACATGCCTCAAGCTTGCTGTGAAACTTAACTATTAGGCAGATACCTATGTGCTGCTACAGAAAAATATCTGGACCATGCAAAAAGAAATTGCAAAATAGTCATATATAACATGTTATCAACTGGATAATATATATAAATAACATATGCATATTATAGAAATCTTGTGGAAAATCCACAAGAATCTGGTAAAAACTGGGTTGCTTCTTTTAAGGATGAGAAACCTGTTCGTTCCTTGGTAGAATGTACATGTATTACATATTCAAAACACATATATTTTTTAGATTAATACAAAACTGAAAACTGAGGCTCAATGGCATCTCCTTAGTTAACTAAACATATAATCTTGCATTTATTTTACAAACATTTACTGCGTGCTTATCATGTGCCAGGCATTGTGATAGCAGCTGGTGCGAAGATTCCCACATTACAAGGAGTGCCCAACCCCAGGCCGCAGGGTGAGCCCCTAATGCGGGGCGGGGACTGGCGGCAGGGAAGGGTCAGGGCCGCCTCGCGAGGCTCTCCGCCGCTCTGAGTGGGTAGCAGGGCCCAACCGTCCATAACGGTCCAAGTACCCAGGCGGAATACACTCTTCCAAAGCAAACCGCCGTCTGCATCCTCTTCCTCGCCCCCACAGTAACGGCCCCCCTACCCGCAGCTTGTGCCTTCGCGCCAGTAGCCCAACCCCAGGGAAGGGTTGGGCCCCTGAAGCCCGAACTACCCCCAGCTCCCTTACCACGCGTTGCCCCGAACTTGGGTCCTTCATCTCTCCTGCTATGTGGTGTCAGTCGTCGTGTGTTCACTCCTCGACAGAGAAATAGAGATCCTCACGCTCTGCGGCGCAATTCCTTCCGCTTGGCTTTTTCTTCATCTCTACAAAGACTTTTTAATGTTTTCCCGCGGGATGAGGCGGGGGGACGTTTTTCGTGTCTCATGAGTCTCTGTCATGGTATGCGGACCGATCGAGGCAAAGGATCGCCCGTCAGGAGGCGGCTTCCCCAATGGTCACTGGGTTGTAGAGTGGCACTGGCTTTGTACAAAGGCACTAATTTTGTGCGGAGATGCGGTTGCGTGATTCCACCCCTTTGCACCTCCGGAGCGTTGATTTACACCCCCCACCCCCACCTCAGTGGAAGCCTCCTAGGTAATTGGCCTGGAGATGGGCTGGGAGTACTCCTGAGCCTCTAATTGGCTGTTTAATACTCAGCAGGTGCAATCTCAACGTCGTCGGCTTTCCCTGGAGTCTATTGGCTGACCTGGTGGGCGGGCTTTGATTTCCATCCGGGTAATTGGGTACCAGCACGCAGCACAGCGCCGTCGCTCAGGGGCAGTTCCCGCGAGGATTGGTTTCGAGGAGGAGGTTGATTGGTCGGGCTTGCAAGCCGGGCATTGATTGGTGCGGGCCGGCTGCGGGGGCGGGGAAGTGGCGGCTGAAGCGAGGCTGGCGCGCCTTGGAGTGGTACTGCTGGTGAGAGGCGGCTACCGCCCCAGGGGTGAGGTGCGAGGCAAAGTGCGCGACGGCTGATTCCAGGAGCGGTAAAGGCAGGGACCAGGAACGGAGGTTTGGGGAGTGGGGGAGGCTGAGCCAGGGACACCACCGGCAACAAGAAGGCGGGAATGTGGGGCTGAGAGAAGAAAGGTGCCCCCGGGCGAGACGAGGGTCTGGGGCCGGGGAGCTAGCTTCTGAGCCTGGCATGGTGAGGCGCTATGTGGGGGCAGCTTTCTCCCACCCCGGGGCTAGTAACTGTTTCCATGAAAGTGCGCTCGTCCCAAGGTAGTCACAGCGGACCCTTTCACCATAAGAGAGGGTTTGCCCCAAGCCATTGATTATCAGTTTGCCTCTTATTTCCCAAAGCTTTTTCTTTAATGGTCTTCAGTATTTGTTTTTCCAGTTTCCCTCTTTAGTTTTTAATGCAGCTAGAATCGTGGGCTTTGGCTCAAGACTCCTGTGTCACAGTTACTCTTTCCTCACCCGAGAGAAATGGGTGAAGGCTTTTTTCACTCACTGGTTTAAAAATAAATGTAGCAAGAATGAGAAAACTTTTTTAAAAAATGAGAAAATTGATTGAGCTGCTTCAGTTTAACAAACAGATCACCATGTTTTAGGTACCTTGTAGGTTCTGGTTGTTAGGAGATATTGGAATGACATATCAGATCCTGGCTCCCATGGAGTTCACTTTGTGTTTTGAAATGTATATCAGATAATTGTTAGCAACTGTTTTAATACAAATATCAGGAAATGTCAAAGTTAGCTTTTACTGAAAACCGTTGCCTAAGTACATTTCTCAACCTTGAAATGACCCACATGTCTACTCTATCTAGGAGCTATGATCTTAAGTTCTAGTCTCCTCCTCATGTTCAACTTGAAGTAATAAAATCAAACACAAGTTAGCATTTAGTTATGTAGAATTGGCGCAATGCCTGGTAGCTCAGACGGTAAAGCGTCTGCCTACAGTGCCGGAGACCAGGGTTCGATCCCTGAGTCAGGAGGATCCCCTGGAGAAGGAAATGGCAACCCGCTCCAGTATTCTTGCCTGGAAGATCCCATGGATTGAGGAGCCTGGTAGGCTACAGTCCATGGGGTTGTAAAGAGTCAGATACAACTGAGCGACTTCACTTTCACTTTCTTTTTTTCACTGTAGAACTATTCTCATTTCCATCATATTTTCCACTTTTAATTTTTAACAGAAATTTAGCAATGTGAAAGAATATGTAGACTATACTTGATTAATGTTAATCAAGGAGATATTCTTTGAGATATCAGCTGATATTATAGCACAAACCTCATTTGTAGTATCTGAAGAGATGTTAGTAACATTTAGGTTTTGTTTCAAATGGAAGTCACCCAGTAAATTCATCCATGTCACAGACATTCATCCCCCCCACTCCCCCCAACAGATCATCAATATTCTATCTCAGACACTACCATCTACCAGGTGCTCAAATGAGAAACATGATAGCCGGCTCCTTGGCTCACCCTCTGACATTTCCATAAATCAGTTGCTGGATCTTGTGTATTCTTCCTTTGAAAGCTCTCTGAACCGACTGTCTGCTTCTCTCCATCTCCATCATTGACACCTGGACTAGCCTCTGAATTGGTCTCCCTACACCGGCTGTTGCTGCCTTCAGTTCATTCTCACGACAGACTTAGCCCTTAATCAATGATTATAAGCAAGCAAGTGCTATGAAGGGATGTTTAGAGTACTGTGGAAACCCATAGCAATAAAACCCAGCTTAGTACAGGGTCATACTAGGGTCATTCTGTCCTCTCTGAGACAGAGAAGAACATTTTGAGGTGTTCTTGAGACCCTTTGGAAAACCTCAAAGTTAATTAGAGGTCAGATGAACTTTATTTAGAATTTGAACTTTGGGAAGTTTGTCAAAAATATCAAAAATTTTTGAGACTTCTCTGTCAGTGGTTAAGACTGAGCTTCCAATGCAGGGAGTGCCAGTTCCATCCCTGGTCTGGGAACTAGGATCCCACATGCCACTCCATGTGGCCAAAAAGTTTTAAAAAAAGAAATGTAATATATCAAAAAGCTTTAAAACACTTGGTCAAATAGGATTGTACATGGAACGATTCTTAGTCACGTAACCAGAGTGACAATAAAAGATCTCAAAGGCAAATATAGAGATGTATTTCTGTTCCTCATATCTTCTTTTTCCTGAAAACATTTTTCTTTCCTCAGATACTGCAATGTTTCCCTTATTCTAGTAGCTTAAATTGCATGTATTAATTAGAATTCCCAGCTCTTAAAACTTATTTTTAATGAAAACTAACAAGCAATTAACTTTTTTATGTTAGCATTCTATAGACTGGCAAGTTTATATATAGTATGTAAATATTTATATACTATTTATGCTCATAAATAGTACATGAATACTATTTATGTTTTCTAGAAAACATGTGCTTTTTAATAGAAAATGTCTTAGCATGACACCAAACCTATTAAATAGTTCAGGTATCTTTAGTTTCTTAGTGAAAGGAAATCTATATTCACTAATGCTACAGTAGTTCATTTTATTTGGTAATTATCTATTTGGTAGACTTTCAGCATTTAACTTAGTTTAGCAAAATGCTAAAATTTCAAATTACCAAAATATGGAGAGCATTTTGGATAGACATACCCAAAACATAATTAATCTGAAAGAGTTTACCTAAAGACTTTTATTTCATTTACCTCTGTTTACTTAAAAGTTTCATCATATCAAGTTATTTTCTTGCCAGCAAATTTTGCAACAGATTTAAGGTCTTGTTTGATTTCTAGTAAATCTAAGGTACAATAAAAATATTATCCATTATGTTAATGATTCTAAAGAGATATATATTATTCAGCAAACTTAAGCTAACTTTAATACCAGCTATTGATTCAATATTGAGTATTTCCCAGCTGTTACCAGAAAATTGGCTTCACCTCTTGGTGGGTGTCAAGCCATAAAACCAAGTCAAAGACTGGGAGAAAAAAGGATTTATTACTTGCAGCAAGTAAGGAGAACACTGAGAATCTGTCCCAAAGCAGTGTCTCCTCAAACAGCAAAACTGGTGGGGCTGTGTAAGGGCACATGCATATTCATGAAGGGACTTGGGTGATTGAGAGTCCTAGCTTTAGTTGATTGAAGTCTGGAGAGTGAGGAAAAGACAACATCATCCCTTAAGTGTCAGTTGATCTGGTGGTTCAGTGCTTCAGGCTAATCTTTAAGACTGAAACAGAACCTGGAGTTCTGTTAACAACTGATAATATTATCTTGGCTGTTGTTACTTCTCTTGCCTGATAAGCCATTGTTTTCTGGATTCTTTGTTCTCTTAAAATCATTAGTTACTGTCATGAGACCTGTTCAAGGACAAGCATTGTGGCCAGGCTTAGATCACAAAATGACTTAGGCTAAAAATGGCTTCTCTACTGTCAAGAAAACGTGTCCAGGGACCTCTTACCTATCTGCTTACAAGATCATGTGAAATTTCTGAGTATTTATATAGGTGTTTTATTTTTTTTAAGCCAATTATATAGAGTTCTTTTACAAATTAATTTTGGCAATACAGCACATCTACCAGAGAAGGCAATGGCAACCCACTCCAGTACTCTTGCCTGGAGAATCCCAGGGACGGAGGAGCCTGGTAGGCTGCCGTCTATGGGGTTGCACAGAGTTGGACACGACTGAAGCGACTTAGCAGCAGCAGCACAGCTACAACACAGATACATAACAGACACCGTATAGTTTTCATTCCAAAATTTCAGCCATGAATCAGGGACAGTAATGTTAAACCCATCAGTTACAAGCAAATTCAAATTGGGTTTCTGGCAGACGGAACAAATCAGTCACCTTTTTAGATGGCTAAACCCTTTTTACTAATGCTTAATGGAGAAGATAGTTAAGACTTTGTCATTGACAAGTTCCAAATTACCTACACCCTTCCTGAAATTTGCGTTTAATTTTTTAAATTGAAGTGTAATTGATTTACAATGTTAAGTTAGTTGCTGGTATACAGCAAAGTGATTCTGCTATACATATATACACGTGTTAGTTTTCGTATTTTCCATTATGGTTTATTACAGGATATTGAATATGGTTCCCTGTGCTATACAATAGGATGTTGTTTACCTACTTTATATATAGTAGTTTGTATCTGCTAATCCCAAACTCCTAATTTATCCCTTGTCCATTCCCTTTTCCCTTAGGTAACCATAGGTTTGTTTTCCATGTCTGTGAGTCTGTTTCTGTTTTGTAAATAAGTTCATTTGTGTCTTATTTTAGATTCTACATGTAAGTGATATCATATGGTATTTGTCTTTCTGACTTACTTAGTATGATGATCTCTAAATCCATACGTGCTCCTGCAAATTACATTCTTTTTCATGGCTGAGTAATGTTTGTGGTAGAGTAATATTTGTGCCACATCTTCTTTCACTGCTCCTCTGTCAATGGAAAAGTAGGCTGTTTCCATGTCCTGGCTACTGTGCATAGCTGCCATGAACATAGAGGTGCATGTATCTTTTTGAATATGGTTTTCTCAAATATATGCCCAGGAATGGGATTGCTGGATCATATGGTAGTTCTACTTTTAGTTTTTTAAGGAACCCCCATTCTGTTCTCCATAGTGCCTGTATCAATTTACATTTCCACCAACAGTGTAGGCGGGTTCCA